ATCGCTGGAGCCCAGCAGGTCGAGGATGCGGTGGCTGGGAGCGGCCACTGCACTCCAGTCTGGGCGACAGAGTGAGACTCCAAATCAATCAATCAATCAATCAATAAAATTAGCCAGGCATGGTAGCACATGCCTGTAGTTCCAGCTACTTGGAGGGCTGAGGCGAAAGGATCGCTGAGCCCAGCGGGTCAAGGCTGCAGTGGCCGTAAGCCTTGCACATACATAAAGAACTTTGTGAGCTTTTTATGTAGCCCTTGATTATGAAGAGACAGCCAAGATCACCAGACTTTTGAGGAAATTCTGTCTTGAGAAAGACAGATCAAACCAAAGGGGGGGAAAAAAGGAAGAAGAAAGAAAATGTGTCTAGGGAAGAAACAAGAAAAAGATAAGAAGCAGAAGAATACTTTTTTTTCGAGTATAATAAGCTGTCTCATGAATGAAACAAGATAAATACTTTTTGTTTGTTTGCTTGTTTGGTTTTTTTTTTTTTGAGTTGGAGTCTCACTCTGTCGCCCAGACTGGAGTGCAGTGGCCGCTCCCGGCCACCGCAGCCTCGACCTGCTGGGCTCCGGCGATCCTTCCGCCTCAGCCTTCCGAGTAGCCGGAATTACAGGCATGCGCTACCACGCCCGGCTGATTTTTTGATTTATTGTAGAGATGAGGTCTTGCTGCCCAGGCGGGTCTCGAACCCGCGGGTTCAGGCGATAAATACTTTTTAAAAGGAACAGAGCACAAGTAAAATATTTGAAAGCTAAATATATGATGCCAGATTTTTTAAAACCAGTAGGTGGATTAGAGGAGAAAGTAGAGGAAATGTTCCAGAAAACATAACAAAAAAGGCAAACATTTTTTTTAAGAAGGAAAATTTAAGAAATTGGAGAATTAATCCTAGACATCTAACATCTGAATAATGAGTTCCAGAGGGTGAGGAAGGGGAGAGTTGGCAAAGAGGAGGAGAGAATCGACTTGTATCAGTTACATAGAATATAAGGTAATTTCCCAGAATTAAAAAATAAGAGCTTGTAAACTGAAGAGATGCACTGACTGTTTAGCACAAGATTTTTTTTTTTTTTTAGATTGGAAAATGTAGTTTTGTTAAAAAGTAAATTAGAGAGAGAGGAGATTCGCCTCCACACGGTTGGGGAAGGGGCCAAAACTAGGAAACATGGCAACCATAGTTCAAAGAGCCACATGGACACACCAGAGTTTAACAAAGCAATGGCCAACAATATATTTTAAAAGACTACTCTCTGACTGGGCACAATGGCTCACGCCTGTAATCCCAGCACTTTGGGAGGCGGAGATGAGAGTGTTGCCTGAACTCAGGGGTTCAAGACCAACCTGAGCAACATGGCGAGACCTCATCGCCACAATAAATAAAGTTAGCTGGACATGGTAACACATGCCTGTGGTTCCAGCTACTTGGAAGGCTGAGGCAGAAGAATAACCAGAGCCCAGCAGGTTGAGGCTGCAGTGACTGTGATTGTGCCACTGCCACTCCAGCCTAGGCAACAGTGAGACTCCTACTCTAGAAGGAAAAAAAAATGACCACACACTGAACCAGACAGAAAAAGTCAAACATTGTATTATTTTATTTATATGAAATATCCAGAATAGTAATCCACAGAGATAGCAAGCAAATGGGTGACTGCCAGGGTCAAAGGAAAGGGGGAATGAGGAATAAATGACTAATGGGTATGGGATCTCCTTTGGGGTAGTGAAAACGTTTTGGGCCAGGCTCGGTGGCTCAGCCTGTAATCCCGCGCCTTTGGGAGGCTGAGGTGAGTGGATTGCCTGAGCCCGCGGGTTCGAGACCCTCCTGGGCAGCGAGACCTCATCTCTACAATAAATCAAAAAAATCAGCCGGGCGTGGTAGCGCATGCCTGTAATTCCGGCTACTTGGAAGGCTGAGGCGGAAGGATCGCTGGAGCCCAGCAGATCGAGGCAGCGGTGGCTGGGAGCGGCCACTGCACTCCAGTCTGGGCAACAGAGTGAGACTCTAACTCAAAAAAAAAAAAAAAAGGTTTGGGGCTAGGCACAACATTGTGAATATATTAAATTCTGCTGCATTGTTCACTTTTAAATGGTTATTTTATGTTATGTGAATTTCACCTCAATTAAGAAAAAAAGAAAGACCACACACTGAGAAATATGATATTTAAGAACTCTGGAAATAAAGTGAAGATTCTGGAAACCCAGGGAAAAACAAAGGGCCTTATACTGTATTAGTCATGATAACCTAAATTATAATATTGCATTAAATAAACCCTGAAATCTCAATGCATTAATTCAAAAAACATTTATTTCTCACTGCATGTCCATGGCCGGGGAGAGCATTCTGTTCCACATTGTCAATCAGGGATGTAAGTTGATAAGTCTTTACCATCTTAGGTTGTGGCTCTCTCAGCACACATTTTCTAGAATTCCTGTGGTGAGTTCCTGTTGCAAGAGGTGTAGAAAACTCCTACTCTCTCTTAAATGCTTTGGGCTGCCTAGCATCAGTTCTATGGACTTTTCTCAGAGCAAGGGAGTTGAAAGGTACAGTCCTCCCAGGTGCCCACAAAGGACAGACAAACCAGGTATTGCTGAGTATAAGAAATCTCTAGCATGCATACTGAGGAATAGAAATCAGACTGTATTCAATTTGTCTTCTGGTTGAAAGCTAGTACATAGTAGAATAATCCTTTCAAAATTCTGAAGGAAAATTATATATTTCCTCTAGAATTGTGTATCCAGTTAAACCATCAATCAAATATGAAGGCAGAGTATTAATATTTTCAGAGAAACAAAGTCATAAAGCATTTACCTTCTGCCACCTCCTTTTCAGGAAATTATCAGAAAATGTGTCACACTAAAACAAGGGAATAAACAGGAAGAGAAGGATTTAGAAACAAGGAGTAGGGGATTTTGTACAGGATATAGCCCAGACAGGAGCAGGAAGATTAAAGGACTGGGGGAAGGGAGACATGGGCTATATAATGTGATAGATTACTTAGCTTGTTTGACAATATTGAGAATTGTTTGGTTCTATGAGAATTTGTGCTGTGTTTAAGATAGATATTTTAAAAATTAAAAAAACAAAAAATGTGGCATTGTAAACTCCAAGTATATTAAATGTTGTATAAGGAAATATAGCATATTATATGACTAATTATATAAAATAGCGATTTGTCAATCTAAATACTGAGTATAAACAAAATGTAAGTCTTAAGAGAATGATAGTAAAAAATGTCAGCACTTAATCATTTTTAGGTTGTTGATAAAATCTGAAATTAAAAAATAAATCAGTCTATTCAGAAATATAAATATAACTATCAGAAGAAATGACTAAAAGTTTAAAACTATTGCTTGTAGGCAATGAATTTCAGGAATGGAGTGAAATAGGACAGAGGACAGGTAGGACAGCTTACATTATACATCTTGTAGGACTAATGCTTTTAACATTATCTAAATGTGTGACTTTTATTTTCTGGCTTTTTGGGGGTTTTTTTGAGTTGCAATCTCACTCTGTTGCCCAGGCTGGAGTGCAGTGGCACACTCACGGTCACCTGCTGGGCGCTGGTGATCCTTCTGCCTCAGCCTTCTAAGTAGCTGGAACTACAGTTGCGTGCTACCATGCCTGACTAATTTTTTATTTCTTGTAGAGATGAGGTCACGCCAGGTTGCCCAGGCTGATCTCAAGTCCGCAGGGTCAGGCAGCCCACTCACCTTGGCCTCCCAAAGCGCTGGGATTATAGGCTGAGCCACTGAGCCCAGCCAGACTTTCTGTTTTTAAGAAGGTAGGGACAATGTGCCACATATGCAAAGAGCTTATGAAAAATGAAAATTATGAAGAAGAGCCATGGCCTTTGGCAGACAAGAGGCTATAATGATATTGGAGCAGTTTGAATTGAGTTTGGTCGAGTGGTGGCTGTAAAACAAGTGGCAGTTGGCTGAAGAGTAAAAGAAAAGAAAAATTATTTCATATACTGCAAAAGAGCAAATTGAAGGAGAAGCAGACATTCAAGATTAAATAAGGTCCTCTTATTATGGAACAGATGTTATCCTCATCAGTGAAATGCAGAATATGAAAATATGGCTTTAAATTAATTATAAATATAAGTAATGTTATACCTTTACAGAGAATTCCTCATAAAACAAAACAACATTTTTAAAATTTCCTTTTAATAGTTAGCTCTTGTAAAATGATTCGTTTTACTGAAATATGTTATGTAGACATCTCTGCTTAATTGTATTGTCAGGAAAAAGTAAAATATCAGTATAACAATTTGCATTACTTCTTTATCTGAATAAATACTTTTTTAGAATTCCTTTATTTCAACTTAATATCCTTGATTTAAAGAGGGTTGTTCTATTTCTTCTGAGTCCTTTATGAAGAGATCTAAGGCTTTTTAAATAAGGTGAACTGTGGTGAAAATAAAAGGCAAATTGTCTCCCTACCCCTAGTTTTCTGCATTTACTTCTTTGCACTGTTGTAGTTCCAGTTCTTTTAGTTCTCCTTCCAGGTTCAAGTTTTTGTTCAAGCTTGGTCATAGGAGTAATGTTATCATCTTTAAATTTGGTCATGGAATGTGTTATACTGCCCCGCTCAGGAAATTGCTGCTCAGTTTGGGCTTGGATAGTAACGTTTATTTTCCTTGGCAGAGAAGCTGATCGTCGAGGGGCATCTAACCAAAGTGGTAGAAGAAACAAAGCTTTCAAAAGGTTTGGTTTTTGTTTTTTGTTTTTTTCTATGGTTTTTAATAGTTATTTTGGGTAATGAAGGTTAGTGTATATTTTCAAGGTTATAGTATTTTAACCATCAGTTTATTTCTTGTAGCTTACAAAATTGCAAGCCAATAACAGTATCACGTAATATATAAAATAAACTTTTGTTTTAAGAAGGATATCTTAATTGGAAAATGTCTTTTTTTAATGGGTGTATGTTTGTACTTTTTTGAAAGTTAATGCTTGTTATAGATTTCTTTAGGTTTTAAAGATTTGTTGTGATCTCTCACTTCCAGCGTTAAATTCAACTTTGATCTCAAAATTTAACCAAACAGTGTAAATCCTTTATGATACAACTTAACAAGTAAAAATGCTTACAGTACCAGTTTGAGAGTTACTTTACTTTTAAACTTCCTTATGACATTTAATATTTTCTCAATTTTTGGTATCTCAGTTTGATTTAAACAAAAGTAATAACATTTGTGAAGGTAGAATCTTAAAATTTTAAAACAGATAGTGATTGCCCTAAGTAGTTATTGTGTTAATTTTTTCTGTTACAACGGTCAGGCTTAAAGAAGACATATGAGTTTTAAAGCATCATATTTTCAAGTCATTTTTATACATAGGCAAATTAGGCAAATAAATGTGGTGGTATGTATTCATTATCATAGTAGTACTTTCATTAGACTGACTATACCAATATGAAATTTAAAACTAGATTAATAATCCTTTTGGTCAACTAAAACAATAGGTGATAAAAGTTTGAGATACATTTTAGTATATTCTGTTTTATTAAAGTAACTGGATTCGTTTGACTTTTTAAAATACTTTTAAAAAATAGTGTTATTTCAGATATCTGGTGGCTTTCATTCTGAATTTTGTACATGGCAGAGGCCATATTTGGGGAAAAAATGCATAGAATATGCATCATTAATATTGTTTTGGCAAACAGGCCTTGAATTTCAGAATAGTGAACTATTTTTAGTGCATATGACAATTTATCTCATCTTATTAAAGTGAGATGAGAACAGACTTTAAAATAGCTTCTGCTTCACCACCCAAATACCTACCAGATTAGTTGGTTGAATAGCCAGCACTTGGAAGTGGAAATAGAACTTTAGGGAAAAAAAAAAATCAGTGCTTCTTAATTAAACATTTTGCAGCATTAATGTTTCTATTTAATGTATCCTAAATTAGAATATAATTGCTTGAAATTATATGGTGTCATTATTGGAAAAGTTTTGTGCAGTGTTACTGATTTTCCTTTTTATAAATTTATTTTTATTGATATGTAAAATGGTATATTAAATGATATGTGATACATTCATATAATGTGTAAAGATCAAATCAGGGTAATTGGAATGTTTATATCCTTAAATATTTGTCTTTTGTTTATATGACTTCGTTTTTAAACCTGTTATCAAATATGTATTGAAATTCTTAAAGAACATGCTTTTTGATCCAGCAATTCCACTTTGGGTTTTTATCTTAAGGAACAAATTAGACAAATGTTCAAGAATGTTTATTTTAATGTTTTAAAAGCAACAAGAGAAAAGTGTAAGTGTCCATCAATAAGGACATTTATTGAATAAGTTTTGGTAAATAAGTCCCTGCAAGTGAATAGAATCTATCATTTAAGAATAATAATATAGCCGGGTGCGGTGGCTCATGCCTGTAATCCAAGCATTTTGAGACCCTGAGGCGAGAGGATTGCCTGAGCCCACGGGTTCAAGAACAGGCCTGGGCAACATGGCAAGACCTTGTCTCTACAGTAAATTAAAAAAAAAAAAAAATTAGCTGGGCATGGTGGTGCATACCTGTAGTTCCAGCTACTTGGAAAGCTGAGGCAGAAGGATCGCCTGAGGTTAAGCGCAGCAGGTCAAGTGAGCATTCCACTGCACTCCTGCCTGGGTGACAGAGTGAGACTCTGACTCAAAAAAAAAAAAGAATAATAATACAAATATAAGTTTTATATACCCAGGGATTATTCTATCAGTAGTCAACATTTTACTAGTGCTTTTTACATTTAGTTTGCAGATATACTTATTCTGTTAACAAATTGGATCTAGACTGGAATAAATTACATTTAAAATGTTTTAAATCTGACTATAAGATATTTTCCTTTGGATTTAGCTAAATTTTTTTTAAATGCTTTTATTGATGATTTTTTTGGTTGAAATTTTCTTTTTTGCATTGTAAGTATCAGTTGCTAGAAATTAACAATTACCAGCTGTTACTAGTCTTTGTATTTCCTCTAGAGGTTTCACCTAATGCAAAATGTAATCATAAATTGCATGTGGTTTTTGTATAATCCCTTACTCAGTTTGCGGTCATTACAATAGCTTTGGGAGTGAAAGTAGAAAGAATATGAGTAGATAATTCTACCACTAACTAGTTGTATGACCTCAGGTAACTTTATTTCTTTAAACCTCAGTTTCTTCCATTTTAATATGGGATTGACAAGATCTAGCTTGTAGGGTTGTTATGGGAAGTGAATGAAATACTGCTTATAAAGCAGGAAACGCCATTCTCATATCCAACAGATATTCTTTCTCTTTCTTGATCCTTAACCTTGTTGTTTTTTTCCAAGTAATGGTTCCATGGCCAGTATGTTTGTTTTGTCCATCTATAATAATAATGTCTACTCAAAGATTCAGTGAAATAGTCACTTTGTAGGATTCCCACTCGGGAACAGTTTTGGTGCTGGTGTTGGTAGCTATTCTTTCATTTCCTTTTGTATGCTAGTAGGTATGTATCTTAATGTTAAATACTGCAGAGAAAAATCAATCATTGGTGATTTTTTTTAATACTAGAAAGTGAGGTACCGTTCACAACTGAAGAACAACTGTTTTGAAAAGAAGTAGTTTACCATTTATTTGTTGTGTCCTGTGTTTCATTCTTGAATAGCTTCAGTTTGGCTCTATATGGTGACAGTCATATGAAGACACAACAGTGATGGACCATGACTTGACTTGCTTACAAACTTGCCTTCCTATTCAAAGTAGATGTGCACCTTCAATCAACCTTTTTTTTGTTTTGTTTTGTTTTGTTTGTTTGTTTTTTGAGTTGAAGTCTCACTCTGTCACCCAGACTGGAGTGCAGTGGCCGCTCCCAGCTACCGCAGCCTCAGCCTGCTGGGCTCCAGCGATCCTTCCGCCTCAGGAGCTGGAACTACAGGCACGCGCTACCACCCCCGGCTAATTTTTTTGGTTTATTGTAGAGATGAGGTCTCACCAAGTTGCCCAGGCGGGTCTCGAACCCGCGGGCTCAGGCAATCCACTCACCTCAGCTTCCCAAGGCGCAGGATTACAGGTTGAGCCACCAAGCCCAGCTTCAGCCTTTTTTTTTTTTTTTTTTTTTTTTTTAAACTACCATGTGTGTATTAGACACTGTTCTGTGCACTGGGAGCATAGCAGTTAATGAAACAGACAAAAATCCCTGCTTTAGGGGAACTTAACTTTCTAGTGAGATGTTGATGAAAGATTTGGCCCTACCTTTAAGGCAATTTTACCTTCCCAGCTAATGTTCTAAGTAAGAATAAAGGTTCCTTGTAAGCCAGAAGAATACTTTTGAAAACATACTCCTTTACTTCAAAATCTTTATCATAAAATTGCCAAAAATATTAAAATCAGGGGAGAATCATTTTCATGTTTTATTTTTTGTTTTTCCAGAGTGCTTCTTTCTGTCCATATAAAGAGATTAGATGTATTAACCTGTTTTATTTGAAATTGTAACTTTGTGATAAACCTAGAACATTCAGAAATGTCTGAATGCACACTATGAATGCAACAGAGGTCACAGATTAGATTCCCATGGGCTTCTGTGGCTAGTGACTTCACTTTTAATCTAAGCTCTCTGTCAGTCAGCAGTTGGCCTGTGACTACAAATTTCAGTGAGAAAAGAAGCAAAAGACTTCTTGTAATTCAACATCCATTTCACAAGTTAAGCCACAAATCCTAGGGATATTCTTATACGGTAGAGCCTTAATACTTTAATATTGTATTAAATATTTTTACAATAATAGCTTTAGATGTGTTTCTGATTTCTTTCAAAGTAGAAAATCCCTTAATTTAGTTGATTATAAAACAATATATATTCTCTGCACAATTTTGAAACAGTGTTTGACTATGTGAATTTAGAAAGTAAATGTCCACTGTGTCCCCCCCTTCAGAAATAACTGTTGATATCTCTGTTGTAGATCCTTTAAGACGTTGAATAAATATATATAATTAAAAATTCATAGCTAAATGTACAACTGTTTTTAATCTACATGGAGTCATATTATATGTACTGCTCTTCAACAGACTTAATTTTTACTTGGTAGTATGTCTTGAATATTTTCCATTTCATAATATATGCATTTCATTGTCCCATAATGAATAATATCACAGTGAGCACCAATATATATCATATGTACTTTACAGAAGACCTCTTGCAAATAATTTCAAAACTTAAAAGTTTTTTTCTCATTGTGATTCAAAGACACATTTAGAAATAAAAGCTTGATTTATAATTTTCTTATTTTAAATGGTTGCTTTTATAACAATCATGGGTTTTTTTTAGAGTTTTATTATATGAATACAAATCTTACTAAGACAGGCTTTTAGCTTATGTTTTTATGTAATAAAACCTTTTCATCATCTTTGTACAATGTCCACATTGTCTTGGGAATTTTACTAAATTTGTTGCAGTTCTCTGAATACTTTAGCAAAGCTTGCTTCATTTTTGTTTCCAGTTGGCAAGTGTACAGCCTTGAACAAAAGTCCCAGCCCTGTGCACAACAGACATGATCCACATTATAATTTAATATGGGCTAAGTGTAATAACCAGCATTCCATTTTGGCCAAGGATGGTGACGAAGTAAGAGATTTCAATGACCTTGGTTAATTTTAAAAGTACTTTGCGTACCTATAGATTTTAAACATTTATAGCCTGAAGCAGTTTTATAGATATAAGATATCTAATTGTAACAAGATTTTACTTTTATTCTTTTCTTGGTAGAAAACCAGGCAAGAGCAAAGGAATCTGATTTATCAGATACTCTGAGTCCAAGCAAGGAAAAAAGTAGTGACGACACTACAGGTGAGTTTTTACCTGTTTACAAACCTGCAGATGTTGTTGACAGTTTAGGTATATAGGTTAATGTGAGTAGACATTTTAAAGTTTGGGTTTGGGAAAAAACAATGTTTTTATTTATCAGGTGGTTTCCTTGAATCTTGGGTATTTGTTAAAATCATTTAAAAATATTCAAATACAATAACTGTATAACTTCCACTTATTTATTTGGATGACAGTAGCTTGCTGATAGATCTGAAAACTCTCTGCAATTATCTTTTTTTTCCCTCTCTGTAGACGCCCAAATGGATGAGCAAGACCTAAATGAACCTCTTGCTAAAGTGTCCCTATTAAAAGGTACTTTAACATATTTTTATAATATTTTAAACCAGGACATCAGATCACCCACAAAATCTGTTCCATGTACTATGTGAAGTTTTACGTTTTAATTAAGAGATTAAGATAGGTTTTGTAAAGTAGCAGGAACTAAAATATAAAGTTTTAATGTTCATGCCCAATGCTTCCAGCAGAATATTTAAATTGTAGAATAATTTGACTCAAGATCAAAGTGAATATGAATATGAAATGCAATGTGTTTTTTGTTTATTTTCATGTCTCTGTTAGGAATTTATAGGCACTTTTAACATAATTAAAATAAGGTTAAAATCTTAATTTTCTTGAAAGACTCGCCTGTTTGCTCTGTTAATTATATGATAGCAGTTGTTTATTTCCTCATTTCTAGTTCTCCTCATCTTCTAATAAATGTCCCCAGGTTCTTACAACACTCTTTCAGACATTTGGCTAAGAAATTTTAGGTGGGCCTAAGATAAAACAACGAATGCAGTGAGCTCTTTTATTTAGCTAACCTCTACCTAGGAAGTACATTTATTTCTTGATGTTTACTTGTATTTTGTTTTGTTTGAGTTGGGGTTCTCACTCTGTCACCCAGACTGGAGTGCAGTGGCACAATCATGGCTCACTGTAGCCCCCAACTCTTGGGCTCAAGTGATCCTTCTGCCTCATCTTCCTCAGTAGCTAGGACTACAGGTACCCACCACCACACCCAACTAAATTTTTTTGTTTTTTTGTAGAGATGAGGTCTCAGTATATTGCCCAGGCTGGTCTCAAACTCCTGGACTCAAACAATCCTCCTACCTCGCCTTCCAAAAGACTGGGATTACAGGCGTTAGCCATTATGCCCAGCCTTTTTACTTGTTTAGAATGGAGTGGATAGAAAATAAATCAAGAGCCGGGCTCAGTGGCTCAGCCTGTAATCCCGTGCCTTTGGGAGGCTGAGATGAGTGGATTGCCTGAGCCCGCGGGTTCAACACCCGCCTGGGCAATTTGGTAAGACCTCATCTCTACAATAAATCAAAAAATCAGCTGGGCGTGGTAGCGCATGCCTGTAATTCCGGCTACTTGGAAGGCTGAGGCGGAAGGATCGCTGGATCTCAGCAGATCGAGGCTGCGGTGGCCGGGAGCAGCCACTGTACTCCAGTCTGGGCGACAGAGTGAGACTCCAACTCAATAAATAAATAAATAAATAAATAAACATTTATAAACGTGTTTTTAAAATAAAGTACCTTAGAGGGCTTACTGATAAATCTGTAAATGTCAGCATTTAGTCTCTTTTATATTGCATTATTGTATACAAAAAATGTTGACTTGTACTGTAAGTTTAACCTAATGAGTTAATTAAACATGTTGGCAGTGGTATAATAACAGCTAGGCAACACTCTGGGATCACAGTAACAGTAACAGCCTATGGAAGTTTTTCTTTGTAGAAGTGCCTATTGTTCTGTCTGGACTATTAAGAAATCTCCCAGTCCAGATGCCAAGCTTTGGAATTTTATAAGGAAGGAGCACTCTTTCTGATTTGTACTCTTGTTAGATGACCTTTGGTGTTGATACGGCCTGCTTTTTTTCTAATGTCATAATAATAGTAAATTGGCTGGGCTCAGTGGCTCAGCCTGTAATCCCGCGCTTTGGGAGGCCGAGGTGAGTAAATTGCCTGAGCCTGCGGGTTCAAGACCCGCCTGGGCAACTTGGCGAGAACTCATCTCTACAATAAATAAAAAATTAGCCAGGCATGATAACACGCGCCTGTAGTTCCAGCTACTTGGAAGGCTGAGGCAGAAGGATCGCCGGAGCCCAGCAGGTCAAGGCTCTGGTGGCTGGGAGCGGCCACTGCACTCCAATCTGGGTGACTGAGTGAGACTCCAACTCAAAAAACAAAAAAATAAATAAATATAAGTTAATATTTGTACAGTCTCGAAATTTCATCTTCTCAGAAATGCAATGCCATTATGGTATAAAATATAGTTACTGATACTGAAAAAATGTCAGAACCTGTGGGCCTTTATGGGAACATGGAGAAACCCGAAGGGAGGTGAATGAATAATGAACACTTCTCATACAAAAGGGGCCTTTTGTACTACAGAAAATCTCCCTCAGATCTTTTCAGCAATCAAGTTCAGATTGACTTATAAGTAACATTTATGTATTTATTTATTTATTTTGAATCGGAGGCTCACTCTGTCACCCAGGCTGGAGTACAGTGGCACGCTCACAGCCACCAAATCTCTACCTGCTGTGCTCAGGCAATCCTTCTGCCTCAGCTTTCCAAGTAGCTGGATCTATAGGCATGCACCACCATGCCCAGCTAATTTTTTTATTTTATTGTAGAAATTAGGTCTTGCCAAGTTGCCCAGGCTGGTCTCGAATCCCTGGGCTCAGGCAGTCCTCTCGCCTCTGCCTCCCAAAGTGCTGGGATTAAAGGCATGAGCCACCACACCTGGCTAACAATAGACTTTTTACATTAAAGTTATAAAGTCATAAGAGCATTGGGAAAATAACATACTATAGCCATGAAGCCAAGAGTCAAAGAACTCTGAATTCCCTCCCAGATTTGCCATTTATTTGTAATATATTCTTGGGTAAATTGCTTAACCCCTCTGTGCTTCAGGGTTTTTTGCATTTTTTAGATTGAAGAAAACAGACTTTATAGAATTATTGTGAGGATTAAATGAAACAATGCATATGGACAGTTTACCATGATGTTCAGAACATAAAATGTTAACCACCACAATGAAGACATTGATAGTGATGATGATGATTGAGAAAAGCAGACCAATCTCTTGAAGAACTCTGAGTAACTCTTCATTACTTGAATAAAGATTGTGAGGTTTTAAAATATTTCCTACCTTATCTTTTAGGAAGAAGCAGTTGTTGGTGATGGATCTTTCCTAATTAATAATGCATTTATAGGGCCAGGCTCAGTGGACAACAGAGTGAGACTTCTCCTTTAAAAAAAATGCATTTATTTGTTTGTTACTTTGCCAGATGTCAGGAAAAAATATTTGTTAATCCATGAGTGCCATGGGACAGCTAAATGGTATCTGTGAAAATACTCACAATGGGGAGTCAGAGTCAAGGAAGAAGGAATGAAAGAGGAAGATGTAGGAGAAAAAGAGACTGGGAAATGCAAGACACATGTGGAAGAGGAGAGGGCAGGTGTCCAAATGCAGTTAGCAGTTGTTTCAGGTTCCACTGCTGAAGATGGGTCAGTTTCCCTAACCTGCTTTAAATTAAGGTGTCAGAACCCCTAAAACTTTTCTTAAATTTCTGTATGATCGCCAGCTTTGTTAATGAAGCAGTTTTTTGGGATTTTTTTTTTAGTTGGAGTCTCACTCTGTTGCCCAGGCTGGAGTGCAGTAGCATGCTCACGGCCACCCCAGCATCAACCTGCTGGGCTCCAGCGATCCTTCTGCCTCAGGCTCCCAAGTAGCTGGAACTACAGGTGTGCGCTGCCATGCCTGGCTAATTTTTTTTTTTTTTGTAGAGATGAGGGCTTGCCAAGTTCCCCAGGCTAGTCTTGAACTTGTGGGCTCAGGCAATCCACTCACCTTGGCCTCCCAAAGTGCTGGGATTACAGGCCGAGCCACTAAGCCTAACCTGAAGCAGTATTTTTTTTATCATACCTATCGAAAGATTTTATGGCTTAATTTTTTTATCTTTATTAAATTTATTTATTTATTTATTTAGTCAAGTTTTCACTCATGCTGAGGCTGGAGTGCAGTGGCATTATCATGGCTCACTTACAGCCTCCAACTCCTGGGCTCAAGTGATCATCCCAAGTTAGCCTCCTGAGAAGCTGAGACTACAGGCATGCACCACCACACTCAGCTATTTGTTTGTTTGTTTGTTTGTTTGTTGGAGTTTCACTCTATCACCCAGCTGGAGTGCAGTGGCACACTCACAGCCACTGTAGCCTTGACCTGCTGATCCTTCTACCTAAGCCTTCCAAGTAGCCAGAACTATAGGCACATGCCACCATGCATTCCTTATTTTTTATTTATTATAGAGATGAGGTCTCACCAAATTGCCCAGTCTAGTCTCAAACCTGCAGGCTCAGACAATCCTCTCATCTCGGCCTCCCAAAGTGCTGGTATTGTATGCATGAGCCACTGCACCCAGCCTAATTTTATTTTATTTTTTTAGAAACGAGGTCTCACAATGTTGCCCAAGCTAGTCTTAAACTCCTGGGCTCTAACAATTCCTTCTGCTTCAACCTTCCAAAGTGTTGAGATTGCAGGTGTGAACCTCCATACCTGGCAATTGTTTTTACTTTTTTGTCTTGTTTTATTTTTAGTGAAGAGGGTCTCACTGTGTTGTTGCTTATTAGCCTTTTCTCGAACTCCTGAGCTCAAACTATTCTCCTACCTCATTCTCATGAGTAGCTGGAACTACATACAGGTGCCCGCCACCATGCCCAGCTTGTTCATCCATTTGTCCTTCCTTCCTTCCTTCCTTCCTTCCTTCCTTCCTTCCTTCCTTCCTTCCTTCCTTCCTTCCTTCCTTCCTTCCTTCATCCCTCTCTCCCTCCCTTCCTTCCTTCTTTCCTTCCTTCCTTCCTCCCTTCTTCCCTCCCTTTTTCTTTCTTCAGCTTGATTTTAAAGACCAACTGTTAATTCAGTCAATGATTGGATGTAAAGAAAAATCACTCAGAAGCAGACACGTTTTAGCAGTCTCCAAGAAATAATCACCATATCCTTAAATGGTGATTATTGTTTTTCTTTTGTAAAAATTTCATAAATTCTTTTTTTTTTGAGTTGGAGTCTCACTATGTCACCCAGACTGGAGTGCAGTGGCCGCTCCCGGCCACTGCAGCCTCGACCTGCTGGGCTACGGCAATCCTTCCGCCTCAGCCTTCCAAGTAGCTGGAACTACAGGCACGCGCTACCACACCTGGCTAATTTTTTATACTGCAGAGATGAGGTCTTGCCAAGTTGCCCAGGCGGGTCTCGAACCCACAGGCTCAGGCAATCCACTCACCTCAGCCTCCCAAAGCCGCAGGA